ACCTCTCTGCAGCGCTACCTCTCATCTCCAGCGCCGACAACCCGCAGCTCCTCCAGGACGGCCATGGCGTCTGACCTGCAGGGTAAGGCCTCGGGACATGCTTCACCATCCCATCCCTGTGACGCCCACGCCCCGGGCGCCTCCATTCCGCTGCGGGCATCCTCCTCTACCCCCGATCCCAGCCCGATCGAGGACCCGGTCATCCCGCTCACCATGTCCTCACAGCCACACTCGGAAACGGCCGCGGCCCTAAAACTTAATGCAAATAAATCATTAGCCCCAGATAACCTGCACCCCAAGGTACTCAAAAAACTCAGCCAGGTTATAGCAAGAGCATTATTCCTAATTTTTCAGAACTCCATATTGACTGGTAAGGTACCAAGTGACTGGTGGAAAGATATGGTAGTACCAATATTCAAAAAAGGTTCAAGTTGCCAACCTGGGAACTATAGACCAGTCAGTTTAACATCAATAGTATGCAAACTGTTAGAGGGAATGGTAAAGGACTATTTAGTGGATTTTGTTCATGACAATGGTATAGTAAATGATAATCAGCACCGATTTAGGAAGCACCATTCTTGTCAGACCAACCTACTAACATTCTACGAAGAGGCGAGTAGAAAACTGTATGGAGGGAGGCCGGTGGACATGGTATGTCTGGATTTTGCCAAAGCTGTTGACACGGGACCACATAAACTCTTAATACACAAGCTGAGATCTATGAGCATAGATGAAATGGTGTGTACATAGATAGAGAATTGGCTATAGGTACGTATCCAGAGAGTATTGATAAATGGCTTTTTTTCAGATTGGTCTAAGGTTGAGAGTGGTGTGCCCCAGGGTTCTGTGGTAGACCCCATACTGTTTTACCTGTTTATTAATGATATAGGGGAAGGTATTATTAGCCATGTTTCTGTGTTTTCTGATGATACTAAAATTGGGAGGGTAATGGACTCGGGCTTAGACACTATAACATTACAAGAGGACCTGGATAAAATAGGGTAGATGAGGTTTAATGTTGAAAAATGTTAATTAATGCATTTTGGGGTTAAAAATAGGCAAGAGGAATACACATTAATGGGTACTCCAGTAGGCAAGTCAGAAATGGAAAAAGATCTGGGGGTCATAGTAGACCACAGATTGAACAATAGTATGCAATGCCAGGCTGTGGCAAACAAAGCGAGCAGAGTATTGTCTTGTATTAAAAAGGAAGTGTACTGAAGAGATAAAGCAATAATGTTGCCACTTTATAGATCACTGGTTCGGCCTCATCTGGAGTATGTGGTCCAGTTTTGGTCACCAATCCACAGAAAGGATGTCCTTGAGCTGCAGAGAGTCCAGAGAAGGGCAACCAAACTAATTAAGGGGCTGGAGTACAAAAGCTATGAGACAAGGTTACTAAATTTAAACTTGTTCACTCTAGAAGTTAGACGATTAAGAGGGGACATGATTTTGATGTATAAAATGTTTAGTGGTGATGGCAACATCAGCAATAAACTTTTTACTGTAAACTCCATAACAAAGACTAGAGGCCACCACTAGAGGCCACCACCTATAATTAGTGGAGAAAAGATTTAACCACAAAGAGCGTAGGGGCTTCTTTTCAGTTAGATCGGTTAAATTCTGGAACTCGCTGCCACAAGCAGTGGTATCAGCAGAGAATATTAAATCATTCAAAAAGCATTTAGATACCTTCCTCAGAGTGGTATAGGTACTCTTAAAAACAAGATCACACAAGGACTCATGTATACACATACACATGCACAATCACACACAGACACACAAAGGTCGAACTTGATGGAGCTGTGTCTTTATTCAACCTCAAATACTATGTAACTATGTTTTTTTTTTTTATATTAGCTGGCACATACAGTATGAGTGAATGTGTCTCATTTGTGTATTATAAGATTTTAGTGAGAAAATATATCTTGCAAACATTGACAATTCTATTTAATATGGTGTCTAAAATGTTGCAGACATGTTTCTAAAGCTTTTAAAGGGTACGTTCACTTTTTCTACTGGAATTGCAATATTCATAATTGAAAAGGAGACTTTCTTTTTGTTCTTTATACCCAAGACCAGTGGCATAACAACCAGGGGGGGGGGGGCGGCCGGTGTGCTGGCCCCAGGTGAAAAGATGAAGGGGGGTGACGGCCGAAAATGGCACTTTTGGCTAAATGCCGAAAGTGCCATTTCCCTGCCGTTTTCTCAGCGCAGCCGTGATTTCTTTCCTCCCCGCTGGGTGCTCCTCTTTGTCCCAGCAGGGAGGAGAGAAAGTGACAGCCAGCCGAGCGCTGCGGGAGGAGACCGCCGTGATCGGCCGGTGTCTCTCCTCCCATACCGCTCAGCCGTCTATCACTGTCCAGCAGAGCGGTGTGGGGGCGGAGACAGCGCTGTCACAGGAGGCTGGGCTTTCCTTCCTACACCGCTCGCTCAGCCTCCTGTGACAGCATGTGTCTGTGTCAGAGAGGAGAGCAGGCTACATACACTCAGCGATCAGACCTCTATTTGGTCTGATTTACAGATATCTACAAAAATGTACTCCCAAAAGTATACTTATGAATAAAACCTTCATCCTATTTTTTTGGGAAATGTTAATAGGAGAAATTAATGGTAGAAAACAACAATTCTGGGTTTTACCAATCATTTTGGGCATATAAATTCTTAATGATCACTATAATTGTAGGTGTGGCAGTGGTATCTCTATTGCCAGGAATACATTGTGCTAGAAGGCATCCCTCCTTCTCATCTCAGAAAGTTGGGACGTATGCTAAAACCCTCAGTTTTAGCATGAGGGCTAGTGTGCTGAGTGATTATTTTATATTGGCTTTTGAAGCTTAACTGAACAAACTGAAGAAAGAAGCTGATTCGTTACTCTGCACAGCTGTCCCAGATTCGGTCTGCTCCGGTTTTAGTAAATTATCCCCTTTGCATTTTTCTCCCATAGTACCCCATTTCATTATAATGGTGATTAAAAAGGCCTTAATTCAAGTGCATGATAAAAAAAAAGGTTACAGGGGATTGGGTACCGGGTATGCCAACAGTGCATGGAGATCTGCAATACAAAAATAGTTTTTAATTACAATAAGAATGAGGCAGTGGGGAATAGATCATTAAATACATTATTAAACCAAGTCAATAGAATGAGCTCTTGATGAATAGTAAACCTATAGTATGACATCTGAAATGAGGTGTTGGAGGAAAGGAACGTAACGCATAAATATGGAATAAGTCACTTCGGAAGAGGGAACGTGCAGCATGGCATATGCAGTTAGATGTTGTGGTATTGGAAATGTACACTATGGCCAGGGCGAGGGCGTAAGACAGTGGAACAGGGAACATACATCATTGTCTATGTAATGATGTGGTACAGAATAGGTAAAGTACAGCATGATTTTTGGTGCAAGGCGGTGCATAATTTGAAATGTAAAGCATGGCATATGAAGCATGGTTGTGCAACACCATGTTGACTGTACACAAATACTGTACAGCAGAATTTGACAGTGCACCGTAGTGTATGAGCACAGTTAATTTAGACATTTATAGAAAATAAGAGACCTCCGTCATCACAAACCCACACTTGCTGTGAGTCTGTGACAGCTTATCAGATCACTGCTGTCACTTATAGACATAGAGCCAGCAAAAAAATCTTCCACTACTCTGCTGTGCTCTACAATACAAAATGTAATCTGCCAGAGCTGTTGAGAAGGGAGTACTTTGCTGGCTTTTTTAATTCATTTTTTTAAACCCCTGTATTCCAGCATTTACCCTTATTACTCCCTGTACCCAAATATTCTACCTTCTCACCCTCTCTACCAATGCATATATACCCTTATCACTTCCTGTACCCCAATATTCCCTCTTCTCACCCAGTGTATTCTTCTATCTCACCCACTGTACTCCAGCATTTATCCCTTTCCCTTCCTGTACTGTACTCCCCTGTATTCAAGTATTTGTCCCTTCAACTTACTGTAGCCCCACATCTTCCCTTCTAACCCACAGTACTTAATTATCTATTCCTCCCACTTGCTGGCTTTTTTGTTTTATAAGTGATGGTGGTGGGTGTGTGACTGTATTGGGACATAGGGAAAATGCACAGGAAAAAAATAAAGCTGAGCTAAGCTTTTAAGCTGCTTAGATTAAAGCAACCCTGTCTGAAAAATTCTATTGGCCAAAACACTGTCCTTGCAAAAGAAAACAAAAAACATACCTCTTCCACTGTCCATTCCAAAGAAAGCTGTGTGTCACTCACCGGGCCTGCTCCTGTGCTCCGGGGGCCCTTTCACACTGTTGGACTACATTAGTTGCATCATTTAAATGAGTAGTTGCCATAATTAACACATGTTAAAATGCCAAAATGCACCAGAAAGGATACATGTAATATTTTCTGTGACAGTGCACTAACATCCATGTAGTCAATTGCTATGCATTCAGTGTGCAGTAATGAACGACTGATAGCAAGGAGCATTGGGGTGCTGTTCAGCATGAAAGTCACCTCATCGCATCAACACAGGAAGCACACATTACTGTGCATTGTGGTAACTTGCACTTTTCCACAGCATGGTGGTGTGAACAGAGCCTTGGTGGGCCCTCCCATTTACTTTCATGTCACTATGTCCTAGATATGGAGGTGGCCGGGGAGGAATCAATTAAAACACCTCCAACGGATTTTCTTTTTACACCATTATCTTGGAAAGGTTAACTTTCTATGTGCTACACAAAATACTCAATGTTACAAAATAAGTGTAAACATCCTTGTTTGTTAAAGGCAATACGCTCTAATTTTAACTTACTATGATTTTCTTAATTTAAAAAAAAATACCATCAAGTTAGGATACATAGGAAAATGTATTTTGGTGCAAGCAAAATATTAGCTAAATCATCTGTATAATTACCTCTATTACATTGTTACCCATCACATCATATTAACTCTTGGACAAATCTTTATGCTGATCTCTTCTATGCAAGAAAAGTTCTAATAAATATTTTGTCTTCTATAGGTGAGATGGAAGAACTAGAGACTTTGTGGCTCACTGGCATCTGTCATCATGAGAAGAATGAAGTGATGAGCAGTCAACTGGATATTGATAACATGGCAGGTGTTTTCTACATGCTAGCAGCAGCAATGGGTTTGAGTCTGATTACCTTTGTCTGGGAGCATCTATTTTACTGGAAGCTAAGATACTGCTTTACTGGAGTTTGTACAGAAAAACCAGGATTATTGTTCTCCATAAGTAGGGTAAGTACGCCCCTACACAAAATTCAAAAGTGTTCAATTGTACTTGTGCAGTTTAAGATATCATATGAATAACTTTTAGGATAAAATTGGATCCCTAATTTAGCTACCCTATGTATGAACTCAAAGGTTATTTTCTTTTTTCCCCCCAGGTTACAGCTATGTGATTTATATATATCAATGGTTAAATGGAGAGCAGGCATAATTCAAGGCAGTCATTTGCCCTTTAGATGTACAGCAACACACCAGAACCTATGTTTTGCTAGTTTTAAATGTATGTAAGAGGCTGTAATTGTCACTTTGTTTATATATATACTGTATATTTATTAAGCAAGCACTTTTAGAGAACTAAACAATCATCCCACATGTTTCACAGTCAATTGTTTTCCCCTGAAGGACCTGGTCATTTATGTTCTCACCTCTCCCTTCTCTATAGACCAGAGCATACTGCATTGCCCTATACCAACATACATGTTTGTAGAATTGTAGAATCTTTTATTACAAAAATGTTCTGAGTTGTGCACTTAGGACACAGGTGGACAGTTCACAAGCTGAAGCGTAGCAGGGACAAGGTGAGCACTGACTGCCGGGGAGCAGGAATCAGTTAAGTAAAAATCCTTTACACAGGTCGCTTAAACAATAATGACCAGTTAAGCCTTGCACTGCGGGGGGTAGCCCCACTGCAAGGGGAGTTTTTCCCTGGACTTTCCTTGGATATAGGCTTTATCACGGTGTCTGTATTGCCCTACAGCAACTAATCAGATTTATACTTTTATTATTCATATGTTCTTTTCCACTGTTAAATATGACTGGTTATTGTGGATTATTGCATTTTTTTTAAATATAAAAGTAACCTAATAAAAAGAAACCCAATAATCTTAATTTTTAAAGATATTTTATTGTTGATATACAATATGCAACTCAATAAAGAAAAAAAAAAGTAAAATACAAGGACAGACTCTCATTATGAAAGTCACAAGTCTTAGCAAATAAACAGAGAAATATATCAGGGAATAGAATATATTATGAACAAGGTTAGATTATATAGAATTGGAAATCAGAAGGGAGAGCTTTTGATTTGAAGCAATCCAAAGCCCCCAGATTTCACCAAATATTTATGTTTTTTTCTCTCATAGGTAATTTTGTACAAAGTGAATTTAGTTAATAAGGTTTTAACAGTTTTCTAAGGAGGAAGATGAAGGACCCTTCCACATCAGGAGGATTAGATTTCTTGCATAAAAGTATAGGGTCGCAGTAGTGTTTTGGAATGCATGGAGATCAACAGACCTCCCAATATGACCAGCAGACAGTTTTAGGGTTATTTATGTTGGGCAGTCCAAGTACAGTAGAGATAAAGTAATTCACCGCAAGCCACCTCTAAGTTATGTATGAAACAACAGCCCCAAAGTAGCATGAAAGAAGTCTGCTTCCTCGCCACATCCCCAGAAACATGCCATTGATTGATGTAGGCCCAATTTGTGTAATGTAACAGGGGTTTAGTGTACTTGTAGAAACAGTTTTTAAAAAAAAGAATTATATTGAGTTATAAGAATTATATGAGTAGAGAAGTAGACCACTTCCTTTGGACTTTTTAATATCTAGGTCTAGACACATAGCTAAGGGCATTGTACACATGGAAACCAGTTTGGTAGTATCACGTTTTCTAAGTAGATGTTCAAACAAATTAAATTCCCCCGAGGAGTACAGCTAGTTTCTAAATTTTACTCCAAGTGAAAATAAGTATTTCTCTTTTGGGATAGCAGAATTCTGGTAAAGAGGTTTTCAACCAGATGGGGTTATGTGGTGAAAGGGGATTATTGGTCCTTGAAAACACAATAAACTTTGATGCAGGAGCTGGTAACAGGGTTCACTCACTGTGTGTTTACCTCATTTCAGAATTAAGTACTACACAAGCTGCTCAGAAATCTTTATTGTAAACTGTGCGCAAAATGTAACAGATATTTTTAGGCATCCAAAATAAATTGGCAAAAATTTACAGAATGGTATAGTAGAGAATATGTGGTATACTCTTACCTGCATGTGATGATAAAGAACTTATTAATATTAAGTTTTGAAAAGGTAATAATGTATTGTGTTTTTAATATTTTTCTAGGGTATTTACAGCTGTATTCATGGAGTGCATATAGAAGAGAAAAGAAAATCTCCAGATTTCAGTTTTACTGCTTCTCAAACCAACATGTTAAAGTTGTTGAGATCATCAAAAAACATGGCTAATTTAAGCAATCTAAATTCTTCCCAATGTAATTCTCCCAAAAGGGCAACTAATTATATTCCAAGAGGGTCTCTGTTGATGGATATGGTCCTAGACAAGGGGAATCTAATCTATTCAGATAACAGACCTTTTCAGCAAAAAGAGATGTATATTGAAAATGCACATGATCTCTCCATGATACCTAGCAACCGCCATAAGGACAATCTTAACAATTATGTCTTTCAAGGCCAACACCCCTTAACATTAAATGAATCTAATCCCAACACAGTTGAGGTTGCAGTCAGTGCAGAACCCAAAGCAAATTCAAGACCAAGGCAGCTTTGGAAAAAGTCAGTAGAGACTTTAAGGCAGAATCAGGGTTCAATCAATGAAAATGGAAATGAAGAGCCCAAACCATCCAGCAAAAACAAGCACTTTCTTCCAGAAGATGGAAATTTTTCTGATGCATCTGACACATCAAGTAGAGCAGCCTGCCAGGTAGACCCTGAAAGCAATGGCAAATCTCACAAGAGTAAGGATAACCTAAAGAAACGATCCATATCAAAATATCCTAGAGATTGTAGTGAGGTTGAGCTGTCTTATTTGAAAAATAAACAAAGTTCTGGTCGTGATATAATCTACACCATCAATGGAGACAAGGAACCTAATTTCATGGTGGAGCAGGCTCAGTATGATGACAATGTCCCTGCTAAAGAGGAAGAAGATTACCCTGAGGTGTATCAAGATCACAATGACAATTACAAAAAGTCAGAATCTTCTCTTCATATTAATAGGACTCCTTTGCACAATGAGGACAGTCTTCCAAACAATGATATTCAGTACAAATTATTTAATAAACATTATAGTTTAAAAGAGAAGAATGCATCTATGACAGAAGTCAATGACAGACATAGACAAAATTTGACCCACTGTCGAAGCTGTCTTTCTAATGTACCCAGTTATACTGGTCATTACTCAACCAGGTCCCCTTATAAATGTGATGACTGCCTACATATAGGAAACCTTTATGACATTGATGAAGACCGAATGCTACATGAGACAGCTAACTCTATCCATTCTGAAGATGTTTTTGAGCACAACTGGATCGAGAACAATGCTCTACAATTTCAGAAGAAGAACAAGTTAAGAATCAACAGGCAGCATTCTTGTGATAACATAAATAAGCCCAGGGAGATAGACATTGAGAGACCATCCCGTAGCATAAGCTTAAAAGATAAAGAACGATATCTGCAAGAAAGCCCTATTGCTAACCTCCTTATTGTTCCCTCAGAAAAACTATTGGGAAATAAGACTCCACTTTATACACACTCTTTAAAGGAAACCAAGCGAAGCAGATCCCTTTACCCAGATATTTCCTCTGAATTGTTCCTGCATTCTTTTCAGGAGAACCAAAACCTGAGTCATGGACAGAGCACCTCTGACATTTATAAACAATCAACATCATTTAAAGCAAGAAGTGATAATTATTTAAGGTCCTCTATTAAATCTACCACTTCATATTCCTCAAGGGATGGACGGGTACCCAATGACATGTGTGTTTCAGAATATGTCATGCCTTATGCTTCAAGCAAGAATAGTATATGCCCAACTCCAAGGGTTGTAAATTCCTGCAGCAATAGACGTGTATTTAAGAAAATGCCTAGTATTGAATCAGATGTTTAAATGTTTACTGTATGTACCATGACTTGCACGAAATGAAAAAGGAAAAAAAAAATGGTATAGCTGCCAACAGAAACCAAGACTCATGAACAATGCTTAGGAAAAGCAGTGTTAGCTTTCTCAGTAAATAATATTCCCAGGGCTTCCTCTGATCCCAGTCTACATGGGACAATCTGCTTTTCCTACTGGATTTATTTAAAGTATTTTCAAACAGCCTAAAGACATCATAACCCTAGTCTAATGAGAACTCCTAAATAAATATACAAACATTACAATGTACTTGACTCCCAAACAAGCTGCTCTTCTTTAGTGGTTATAGGTCATGCCAAATCAATCTCTTTGTTGTTTCAGGTGGGTACTCTGAATTCTCTGTAATTAAATGGGTATACCTGTAAACTAACACAGCTCTTTTATCTTTAACTTTGCTAAAAAAAGGACAAACTAAGCCATGTCATAGGCCAACATTGAAATTACAATCTGATTAAATATTGGCAGCTATTATTTTATGTGTTTTACACACTAGACATGACTATACTACACTAAAACACCTCTTACTTGTCAGCTGTTGTTTTTACTAGAAAAATAAGCAATACTGTATGCATGTAGTTTAACACAAAGAAAATGTTTTATGTAAGAATGCATTTGCACAGTCACAAGGGGCTGACAAACTTACTTTTACTTATAATGTTTAAACAAAATCAATTAATAACTTTTACATTATTTGTGTGTAAATGCAGATAGTGTAGACTAAACTAGATCCAATAGTTTTCCAGTATAAAATGATGTCCATGTTAATATAGACATTACTATCTTTATTCACAGAAAGTAGATTTGTGACATAGTCACAACAAATTTTGATCAGTTTTACAATCAATTTTGATTCCAATGCTCTGTAATGTTCATGTTAATTATTATTTAATAGCTATACCCAATCAGTGTGACCCCTTTTTCATTTTCTACACTTCCAAAGTAGTGTATCACAAAATAGCCTAAAACATAACAGATATTTCACACTGCTACCTTATGTATATATACATGCATAGTACACTGAAAACCTGCTACATATGTAGATATATCAGTTGAGTGCATAGCTTGATCTATATTTAAATATCAGTACAGATGTAGCAGAATTCTGTGATTTTTTGGAGTAAAACAATTTACCACAATACCACAGCTGATCTCTTAACATGTTTCTTATTAAGGATACAAAAGTTTATCTTGATTATCTGCACCAGAAATGTTGATGTGTAGCACTTAAATCAGTGCATGGTAGTCTGCTACATCTGCATGTCTTCATGTTTTTTGTAAAAAGGATTTCTATAGCGGCAAATGTTTGGGTGGTTATCCCTTGACCATGTATAAAACACTTTGCCATACTGTTATTGGGCAAAGAAGTTTCTTTGGAGATGACACCTACACTATAGGTGTCATATTGAAAAAAAAAAAATTAAAAATGGAGAAACGGAAAATGCAAGTCTGGATTTTGCCCCTAACAGCCAGCCCTTATTCCAGCTGGCATTTGTCATTCTTACATACATTTGGATATGAAAACAATTACAGTATCTGGTTACAACTGGTAAAATTGGAACATTTACGTTTCTTCATTTTCCTAAAAATTCAGCCATTATGGGTTTGACTACTGCCCGCTATCTTTTCAAATCACAATTTTAAATATATATTCTAGTTGTAGGCATGGTTTCTTATTGCTATTCACATCTTATGCATAATTACATCTTAGTGGTAAATGTTTCACATTCTAAAATACTTAGAATATAATAAACATACTAAGCAAATTAGGGATGCACTGATACCGTTTTTTCGGTATCGAGTACGAGTATTGATATTTTTTTCTGTACTCGCCAATACAGAATACCGATACCAGAAGTCCCATTAAGGAAGCCGGGCGGCATGTAATGACTCACCACCCAACTTCCCGATTAGCCGTGCGAGGAAGCATGGAGCTGGCAGACGGGTAATGATTCGCTGCCTGTCTTCCTGATTGACTAGCTTTCTGACCAATCAGGAAGCCGGGGGGTGAGTCATTGCACAGCCCCCGGCTTCCTGATTGGCCAGAAAGTCGGCTTGCTCTCTCATCACCAGGTGATGTGGAAGCATGGAACCAGCTTTCTGGCCAATCAGGAAGCTGGGGGGCGGGGAATGACTCATCACCTGGCTTCCTAATTGGCCGGCTTTCTGACTTCTTTTCAAACAGTTCAGCCCCCCCTGCTTCAAACAAGAAGCCGGGAGGCGAGTCATTACATGCTGCTCGGCTTCCTGATTGGCTGGGAAGCTGCCTCCATGCTCCCTGGTGATGAAGGAGCATGGAGCCAGCTTCCAAGCCAATCAGGAAGCCGGGCAGCATGTAATCACTTGCCGCCCGGCTTCCTTATACCAGAAGTTTTGGTATTGGGATAGGCATCGGAAGCATTTGGGCGAGTACGAGTACTCGCCCAAATACTCGGTACCGGTACCGATACTAGTATTAGTATTGCTGCATCCCTAAAGCAAACATACTTAACATACTACACTAAGCTCATAAGCTGATTACTAACAGCATAAGCAATGAGCTTATACTGATTTTACAGCAATGTTTCCTTTCAGCATGTTGTCTGGAGCATCCTGCCTAGCATCCCTTTTACTGGCTGTGAAATAAATGCAGTCCCCATCTTTTCCTAGAATCCAATTCTTGTCACCTATCTATCTATCTATGGATATGCAAATAGTGACTTTGAGAAAGTTTGCAATTTGCAATTACCACTTCAGGAGGTTGACAGGGGCCACTAGAGAATTACGTCATAGCAGGTCATACTGACAGCTGCAGCATTTAGTTTATGTTATCAGATAATTTTTACATGTTTACTCTAATGATTATTGCAGTGAGATCATATAGCCTTATGAGGAATCTATTTCCAATCAAGTCAGATCTAAGATAACAGATAGAAAGGACATTAATTGTGCAGTACAGCTAAGCCGGATACAAAGTCATCATACAGTATGTACTGTGTAGGTATGGCTGTCCCTACATACATATATTTATGGACTGTAGGCAAACGCTTTTACATTTACAAAGATTGTTTACAATAAATTGATTACAGTCAGGGGCGTATCTGCCTCGAGGCAAACAAGGCGTTTGCCTTGGGTGGCAGTTTTCAGGGGGGCGGCAAAAATGTCGCCCTCAAAACAGTTAGGCAGCAGAGGAGTCGGCGAGGAGGCAGTAGGAGGCAGTAGGAGGTGGCGGTGGAGGAGGTGGAAGAGGCAGAGGAGGCGGAGAAGCAGGAGGGGGCGAGGTAAAGCAGCAGAAGGGGGCAAGGCTGAGGCGACAAAGTGATGTCGGATCAGGAAGGGGCGGGGCCAGGGCACCATTGCGCCATAGGAAGCCGGGTCATTGAAAAGCCATCGGTCTGTGGAGAAGGCCGGGCCCTGCGGCACCAGTCCAGCGGTGGAGGAGGCCGGGGACCAAGCAGCAGGTAAGAGGATCACACTGCTGCTAAAGGAACCCTGCAGAGCCCAGCATAGTTTCTGCATTGCCCCCTTGAGAGTCTCAGGTGGGGTGGGCTGTGCAGGATCTGCATACTGCAGACCATAGACCCCACAGAGCACACCACAGATCCTGCAAAGCCCCCCTGAGATCCTGCAGAGCCCCTTGCAGATCATGCACAGCCCCCATGCAGACCCTGAGCTCTGCAGGGTCTCATGAGGGCTGTGCAGGGTCTGTCATGGGCTCTGCGGGGTCTATGGCAGAGCCCACCACAGATCGTGCACAGCCCCCTTGAGACCCTGCAGATTTAGTGTGGGTGGCCGAGTTTCGTCTTGCCTAGGGCAGCCCCAAACCAGAATACACCACTGATTACAGTATACACAAATGTAACTGAGATTGACACAGTTTACCACGCAGCCACAGCAAGACTGGTGCCCTGATTTGTGACTGTTGCAGTTAAGCAACATAGTTAGCTGCATTACCTCCCAGGCCCCTAGCCTGTGGCTGAATAGTGAAAGTACAGCAACAGACTGATGAGTTTTATCCCCTTTATTTAACCTCCAGTCAGCATGTTTGTCATGATACAAGATTATGGAATCCTGCAGTAAGGTATCAGAAAGGCTTAAGGAATACTGACACAAAATATTTGTTTGTGTCAGTAATTAATAATATACTTTTATATTTTATTGTGAATAAAAAAAGACACATAAGAGGAAACTAAAACATAAATCATACATTAACAATCAACCTAAAAAATAAAATGTTACCTACAAAGTATACCCAAACAATAAGCAGGATAGTGGGCTAAATAGGGGGACAGGGATAAGCAGGGAAGGAAAAGGGCATGGAACATTTTATTACAAGTAGCAGGTGGACAGGTACACAGATATCAGGTTACAAGTAGAAGAATGGGTAAGGAACAGTGCCAGAGTAGGTTCAAGATGGAATTGACACCAAGGCAAAATTCTTAGGTGTGGTGAGTTGGAGCTAAAGTGTCTCCCAGCCACTTCAAACAGGTAATAACTAATGGTGGCATTCTGTGACACTTACAGGTATCTACTGGAATTAACAGTTACCCAACAAGGGACCAGAGCGATACATAACTTTGTACTGTATGTTCCTGGCAAGGTTCTCTGTCATCTATGGGAATGTAGGACACCTAAATCACCTGGATGCAGCTATACAGGAGATTACAAGAGGCTGACATACAAATTAGTTATACTAGCCATGTTTAAAATATTATTAAACTGTATTTGTTTGTGCGTGTGTGAGGGTTTTTTTTTATCTTTGTATCTACAAAGGACGTGTATATCCTTTGTATGACTTTTTAAAATAACTGCAATGCACGGGTAGTAGTCAAACCTCTAGCAGAGCAATAACTTGGTGAAGTGAGTTTTACATGAGATTTGGATAAATAAGGTGAATGAAAGTAAAGGGTTCCCCTCCCTATACACATCCTACCTTGCAGAAACATATTTATTATCTTTTTACTTCTATATTATGAACATTATCACAGATGCTGGTCAAATAAACACTGTGACGTGTGCTGAAAATCTATGTTGCACAAATGATCTGTTCACTCTGCTTAAAGGCTCATTGGTAGGCAATCCTGTAAGGGCAATGAGATGCTTAACTGATAGTCCTGTATGAGTCCATAAGCCTTTAATATAGATGAATACCTATG